TCACATATCTGAATTAGGCAAGTAATGGTATATATGTTGTTTCTAAAATGGGCCAGATATAGTGGTTCCTTATTGCAAAATTTAATCCGATTGTGACTAAGCTTCAATTTTTCCAAATGAATGATAAAGTAGCACGCGTAAAAGTTCCATTTCCCGAATTTCCATGATGTATATTCCTATCTTTTAGGTGTTCTTAATTTTTCATTCAATTTACGAATTAAGTTTCTTTCAAATGTTAATTTTAGCATCATAAACTGCCATGAAAATATGATTCATTTACTTCCGTAAAAGTATTGTGTCAAATTTATTTAGAGCTTATTTGTTAGAAGTGTGAATGTTAGCTGAAATAATCAATCGAAACTTCCAAAAAATACCAACTATTGCAAGCTCACGTTTCTAATAATGCTATTACAAGTTAAGAAGAGTAAAACGTAATGATACTCGCAAAGATGACTAATTTTGGTATCCCTGATTTTATCTACTCTTTTCTCTTTCATACATCCAAAAATAGTAAACAATATTGCGCCATCATATCAACGCATGAGCCTTGATGGTAAACCAACGTGAGTTAAGTACGTTGTTCGTATCAACCCACATGTGCCGAATTTGCAAGAGGCAGCAACCTTATCGTTATTTTTGCGAACAAAAGAAAAAAAACTATTTATAGAGTCTTTGTAAGTAATCATTCAACTCCTTCAAGCTTGCAACACTGCTGGCTGTTCGTGTCGGTTTTTAAAATTGCCTTTTAGGTGGACGAATGCGACTCAAAGTGACCTTTCTGAGGAAGCGGAAAAATCATTTTCTCAGAAAATCCTCTCACATAAGAACGACGGAGGAAATAACAGCTCTGCAAATCCTATCAAAAGTAGGATGGAGGGGGAGGGGGGTCATCTTGATGCTTTAAGCCATTCTGCATGGCTTAATCTGAGGAAACCAAAAGAAAAATGAAGAAAACCGTCATCGCTATTGTTTTAGGTATTTCCTCGTGTATATTTTGTGAGTTTGGCATGAGGGAAAAACGGCGAACAAGAACACCTATTTATATTTTAAAACCTTAAATTTCAAAGGATTAAAAACTGTCTCCCTAATGAACCGAAGAGAGGTACACGAGTAGATTTGGCAAAGAAAAAGTACGGATAAATCTTCTCGGACTGCCTCCATTGGTGTTACTATTGATGTTTTATTGTGTTTGTTAGGGTGGGTGTGTACGTTTATTTATATATGGATAGTAATGAGGTAAAGGGATTTGCATAATATTTTTGGCGTGGCCTTTAGCAAACAAACTGATGGCACAGGTACAGGTTTCAGTGCTTAAAAATAACCTGCTTACTTGTAATACTCATCGATCACACAATGTACTTCAGACCAATCGCACCATGCACGAGCTTTTCTCTTGCCGCCCCCCCCTCCCAAAAAATCCTCAAGTTTGATAATAGTACTTTGAGTCTTACTCTTTTCTCTGACCCAATTCCAACAGTTTTGTGATATGCCTCTTCGAGCACTCAAATCGTCTTGTTTCAGTTTCTTGAAGAACGTAACAAAACGGGCGAGCAACTTTCTCAATGACTTTTTTCCCGAGTTGTCCAGGCGCGCTTAATTAACAGAATTATTGTGATTTATGGAGCAAGTTTCACATAAATTCTGTGAGCCAGTAAACTGACCTCAAAATATATCATTTTCGTGGATCGATCGGTTGATCTTTATGAAGAGACTAGATCACGTTTCTGGTATCACTGAAGATTTTATCCAGGAGGATAAGATCTCTTTTCCCTTTTTTGGCTCCTCGGGTATGATAAGAATGTGAAAGGGGTACTTGTCCTCGTCGGGCGAGATTTAAATGGACAAAATTGAGCGAAATGTGTCCTTAACGGTTGGTTTAAGGACTTTCTTTCTTCACCACGGATACTCCAATTAATGCATTTTTATCCCCATGTTTTATCTTTTGGCGCAGACTTAATTACTCCTCTGCGCCAAGTTCGTGGTCTTGAAACCTGCTTCCTCAAAATTGTTTTTTTTTTTTTTTTTTTTTTTTTTTTTTTTTTTTTTTTTTAGCAACTTTTTAATTTTAGTCTACCGGCCCTTTTGACGACCAAGAGGCCTCGACTGGACGTCGTATCTAATCAAAAGGAACCATCTTTATTGTGGCCCTTTTTTTATTTAAATATGTCAAATTTTCGAGTTCCCGTCAAATTAGTTTACACATTTTATAGTGAGATATCGCCTACATTCATCCTTGCATTTTGTTTCAATTCTAAAGTAAGCACAGAAGGCCCCCCTTTTTTAGAGAGGGGGGAGGGGGGAGGGAGAGTCGTATCTTACCCAGAGTGGTATCAAAAATAAGTTCCCCTATATACATACATCCATCGGAGTCTGAAACCCGTCCCTCAACAAGGCACGAGAGCAAGCGGAAAAAGAGAAGAAAGGGATTGCAGATTTTCCGTCACCTTCAAAAAGTGTTTAAACTTCTTTCGCTTGGTGAGTCCACGCCAAAAAAGCCAACGGCTGAGTGCCAAGGAAACTTCATTATTTTTATCCATGCAAAACTCTATTTTCATCTTAAAAAGAAGGATTTTATAAGACGTTTCTATGTTTCGAATTGTAAAATTCCCGTGGTATACATTTTACGTACTAATTCTTTGAACCAGGCACGTGTTCTCGATTTCAGTGAGTCTGAGCAGCACCTAGGGCGAGATAATGAGACCTATTGGTGAGATACCCATACTCTAGGTATCGTTTTACAATCCACTTTAAAAACAATCATTAGTATGACGAGATTTGGGTAGTTTTTGAGGTACCGGAAACCTCAATGGGACGCACAGTAAATCGCTTTTTTTATGAGCCCTCTCGGTTTGTAATAATATTTGATGATATTTTTATACAAAATCATCATCGAACATTGAATTTCAATGGCATATTGAGTATGGATACTTGCTTGCTGGTGATGAGCAACGATCATCAAATCACGCTTTCCAATAATACCTCCTGAGGAATGTCAAAAGTAATCCGAGTGGCTAAATTTTGAAAATCAACAGTCAATGACCGTGCCTGAGAGATTTTTAAAGCCTCCAGTTTGGTTGTGGACGAGAGGATTAAGTGCCGCAGTTCAACTGCGTGTTTTTGTTACTTGTCGTCGCTCCTTTGACGTAAGGGCTTTTCTTAATTTCCACATAAACTCCGGTAAGCATGGAGTTATATGGACAACAGGGCGCACGTGGAAATTAAGATACGCCCTTTTGTCAAAGGGGCCTGCTTTGTAGTGCACCTCGATCGATACACGTCCCTGATTCCACCGTGGAGAAATTTGTAACTTTGGCTCTTGCAGAAACTTTCATTTAGGCACATCTCATATGATTTAATTCCATGGAAGAGATGCCATTCGAGGCCATTACCCCCCCCCCCAAAAGGAAAATCGGTCTACCCTGGATTTTTGTAGTTCTGGCATTTTTTGAACAAATAGAAGCTCAAGACAAAAACCATGAAAAGCGGCCATTTTGGCTTTCAGATCCGTGTTCGAGGCAATTTTTTGCACTGAAGTGTTTCGATGGTGGCTACGCTTAAAGAAGAATCGGTGTTGATGCATGATCACCATGTTCACAGGGCTTCCGAGCTTTCTTTGTTGTAGTTACAGAATATATTTCTGTTGTGAAGACAAAACTTAGGTCATCAGCACAGACTAATCCGTGTTTTCATCAGACTCATTCTGTAATTGTAATAACACAGAATGCCTGAAGGTTCTGTAGACAGAGTGCTCTTTCATCAGCACCAATGGTTTGTAAAACTAATTATTTTAGTTAATATGGATCTTTTGCCGTTGATAACAGCTTGAATCGCTGAAATTCATGGATGGGACCGATTTTGGCCATCACTTAACGAAATCCCTCCTTTCTTGAGGGAAGCTTAATGTCAAAGTCTGTAAGTACACCAAAGAAAACTCGGGGGCTCAATTAATAGGGTGTTGTCTATTATTAGCGCAACTTTTTCGCGCATAAAACTAATTACCCTAATCAAATGTAGACCTTCTCCTATCAAAAAAGCTGAAATCGTAGACTTTTAAGGTGGGCCTGTTTTGATTCTGCATGACGTGCACGAGACTCTTCCTCTCATGGGAGAGTAAGCATGGGGGAGTGGGGTGGGTAAGCATTGGGACTCAAGTTTTCAGGGAACGTCAAGTAGCAGAAATGGATGCATTTGAATCAAAAGGAACTATATCCATTGTGACTTAAACCCTATAATACATGTATTCTTATGGATCTCAGGGCTCGTCAGAATGGATTTATAGTTCCTTTTGATTTAAATACGTCCAAATGGGAAAGGGGGAGTTCTCGGGAGCGCACCTGGTGGTTCTTTGAAGTGTCAGTAATTGGTGTGTATACATACAGGGTGTCTTACAATTAGACCCCTCATACCGGGCTTTTTCTTGGCTATTTTAGGTCGGATGAAGTCAGAGACTGTGCGCTCGAACAGGGAATTGACCCCGAGGAATCCAAAATTCATGGCCGTGAAGCCCCCTCCAGCCCTCCCTTGGGGGGTTAAGGGGGTCGTCACTGTAAAAGTTAGGGTCGCCTCCAAAATTTTGGAATTAACCCATCCAAGTCAGAAAGGACGGAAGATCTCACCCCGGATCGGTGCCAAGGAATCCAAAATCGGACCACCCTTGTTCGGAATATTGGCCCCTGTAAATGGGGAACAGGGCTCTCTTCCCCAAACTTCAATATTGCTTTATGAGGCCCAAGGAAAAGATGTTTGTCTTGGTATTCGACCACCAGGAATCTGAATTGGACTGTCCCGCAGCTCCCACCCCCACCCCAAGCATTTTCGGATGCGATACAGAGGGTCCGTAATTTTGTAAATTTTCCAAGTTTATGACCCCTCTGCCGAGAATCTCCTAGAACAAGAAACTTCCCACTTACATCTAGATCCCCAGGGAAAAGGTACCTCCCTGATGCCATGCATGCAGAACCACCATCCTCAGGATGTCGTTAGGTGCGCAGGATGATTACCTTTCAACTCGAGTCCCTCCCGGGTGCAACGACCACGCTCCAGCATGCACTCGACAAGCATCTTGAGGATCCTCTCGTTCTTCATCACAGCATCCACGTTGATATAATCGTACTTGGTCGTGTACGTCGCCCGATTATTGCTCTGGGCCGAGGCCAGCCGATAAACGAGCGAGATCACTTGGAAGTAAGTCAGGCACCGCACTATGCTCTCCGAACACACCATCGCGCCGACACACGGGACACGGGACACAGGACACCACGGGACACACGGCACGCACCCGGCTCAACGCGTTCGCATCACACTCCGAGATTCGCACGACACCGTGGGAGCGTCTACACGACCTGCACTTCGCCAAGTTCACGGTTCAACCGCGACGGCTACATCTCCTCGACATCGCCGCCGCGGTGGCTCCCGGTGCGGCTGCCCCCCCCCC